GCTGTTGGTACCATAAGCTGTCTTCCCCCTCCTTTATCAGTCCTATAGTTTGGGATACCACCAGCCCATGCCGCTACATGCTATTGATGCCACTCCTTTGCTAATTCCTCTCAGAGACCCTTCAAACTTTCTGTGCAATCACCAATATCCAACAGCCCCCAAAAATCCACAGGGACTCAAACCTATGATCTCACACCTATTAACCCATGGCTTTCAAGTTTGCTTTTTTTTTTCTTTATTTCTTTTTCCTTTTTCCCTTTCCCTGGTACCAGGGATTGAACTCATGACCTCCTGCTTGCAAGGCAGGTGCTTATGTTCTGAGCTAAATCCCCAGCCCCAACCCGTGGCTTTCTTAAACCAAAACACACAGTTAGCATTCTTCATTCCCAAGCTGCCATCTGGCAGAAAACAAGCCTGATCAGTACGCAAGGAATCCCTATCACAAGTGCACCCTTTATCCTCAAACTACTAGAGGCAGCACAACTCTCAAAACAGGTAGCAGTCATTCCCTGCAGGGGACACCAAACATCCTCAGATCCTGTTTCTCAGGGTAATATCTTTGCTGGCACACAGGCCAAGTTGAATGCACCATAACTATACATCCTTCTCATCTTCTCTCCCTTATCCCAAATACCCTGCCACCACCTCAATATTCACCTGCACAGCTACAATTAATCCATAAATCTACCTATATCCTAAACACTCAGGGATGGATTTTCCCAGGACCAAAACTTCTCCTTTCAGACCTGTAGGCCTTAAACATCATCACCTGCCCATACAACTGCTTTCGAGTAGGTACCCACACTCTATATAAACTTCCATCTCTGATCACTACCCACCCCTCTTTAAAAACCCTCATGTGCCAAGCCATGCACAATTGCTGTCTCTGTGCCAAGACACCTCCTCAGGGATATTTACCTTCTCCTTCTTTCCCAATTCACCAACTTTGTGGACACACTCCAGACAAAGACTGGAAGATAGATTTTACACACATGCCTCATCATAAGACCTCCAAATACCTTCTTACCTTTGCCTGCACTTTCTTGGGGTGAATAGAAGCCTTCCCAATGTCTGACAGACTGCAGAAATAGTTTCTAGAATTGATATACAAGAGAGTATCTGCCATTTGGCTTACCTCAAACTACCCAATCAGACAACAGATCACCTTTCCTCATTCAGATTACTTGACAGTTATCCTTGAAACTACACATCACTCGGAATCTACACAGACCAAATCACCCACAATCCTCAGGAAAAGCAGAAAAAGCAAACAGTCTTCTAAAGACACACCTCGCAAAACTCATCCTAGAACTACATCTACCTTGGCCTGAACCTTTTCCCTTAGGCCTAATTGTCTTCAGAGTGGCCACTTCCTTCAATGTCCACTTTCCTGAGTCCTTTTGAGCTCATGTATGGGTATCCTCTTCCTGCTTCACAACTTACCTGTCCCACGGAACCTTCCCCGTTTTGCTGATTGTAGCCCAATCCTCTCCATGTTTAGACATCTTTTATGACAGTATGCCAATCTATGTCTCCCTCTACCAAAAGATAAACCAAAACCAGAATATTCTATAACTCCTGGAGACTTAATATACCTCAAATCGTCTAAAATCACAAGACTTCAACCAAAGTGTATAGGACCTTACCTGGTTAACCTCATGACACCAAGAGTGGGTAAGGTTGCCAGTCTTCCAACAGTACTCAAGACTGCCAATCTCTCATCTTGGATTCACATCACCCATGTTAAGTGTTGCCCTGACAGTGCTAACCCCAAACCTCCATCCCCAGACTGGTCATCGCACCTTCTGTTCCTCACCCATCTTCAGCTCACGTGAATCTAAACCACAGTGTTCTGGGACTCAATACCCTCCTTGCTGTTTTTCTACCACTGGTCTTCATATTTGCTGAGGCACTTTGGACAGTCTCCCCTAGCGACACCAAGATGACCATAACCTTTCTGTTCCTTGCTAGATTCTTGCATAACCACTCTCAATTGTCTAAAATTATCATGATGGCAAAGGTATTAGCCTTCATATTCCTCTCCTTCCTAATTTTTATACAAATTTCACAGACTTTCTCATGGACCCTTCCCTTTTCTTTCCAAACCACTAGGGATAATTTTCCAATTCACAAGAGTATGAGAAATATAAACTCTTGATTTAAGCAAAATGGCCTCCCTCTTATGGTGAACTGTGCTATGAGAAAAAGGAACATATCTCACCATGGCTGGATTTCTCACTGACTAAAAACCTCCTGCTCTGACCCCAAACTTTTTTAGTGCTCCACATGGGACTGAAAGGGCCCACGTCCTAGAAATGTTTGGAAATAACAGGACCCTTGGATCAATTTTTCTTGACACTTTGTTCTGCAACACACTAGATTCCTATAACCCTATTAGTTTAATGCTCAGGCAATCCTCTTGGCTGACAGACCCACCTGGAGGATCAGACTCTGTAGTACGGGACAGACCTGGGTGTTAACTTGAATATAAAAATGATCCCAAACCAAACAAGACACCCATTCTTAACATTCTCACCTTTAGCTTACCCCTGCCCCTTCCCTCACTATACTTTACACCTCCACTATTCCTCAATCACTAAATCACACATATGCCCTTATATGGTCTTCACTTCACACAGACTGGACACAATGCTGGTTCTGTCTCCCACTCAACCAAAACCTGTGGCTTGCCCCAGGGGTTCTTTGTTCTTGGGATGGCCATGCCACAGCCCTACACATGTGATCCATTTCCAACTTCAACAGCTTGCCAACACCCTGTAAATGTGTACAGCTGCCCCTGCTAGGTCAAACCTAGGAGGGACCAGGGATGCAACAGGACACAGCATCTGTGCACCAGGTCATTTGCGTAGCATGTGTGAATCCTGGGCTCCTTCCTGACCACCTGAAAGGGAGATTACCAAGTGCTGTGAAGTGCTGGCCACACAGCCATACCATTCCCAGCCTGAGCCTTTCTCCTCATGCAGTCAGGGCTGGGAGAGTTCAGGGTGGGATCATTCTGAGGTTGCATAAGAGAATCTATGCAAGTGAACTGCAGTCCCCTTGGCCCCAGTGCAAAGCATCTCGTGTTCCTTCCATGCCTTCTGGGTGCTGGGCACACGGCAACTGGGTAGCTGCACATCTGCAGATGCACTAAGTAAGCTGCTGGTCAGGTATTGTGGTGGCGGGATCGGGAGGTAGTCAGTGATGTGATACATGCCAACCAGGGGTTTTTAGCATACATCGGGGCTCCTGAGCCAGGCAGGACAAGGGGTTGGCCAAGGAAGGCCCCTGGAGGAACTAACTGCTGGATCCACATTCTTTGAGAGAGTTTGCTTTCCAGGCAGAGACGGAGAGGGGAGACCCAGAGGAAGGAGGATGGCAACAGCACAGACAGGAGGGAGGCCAGTGTGACGTGTGGTGCATGTCTGTGTGGCTGGTGGGGTGAAGGGAGAAAGACATGGTGCACAGGAGATACTGGAACACAGAGTCCTGGGAATAAGGGCTGCTCTGAGAGATGACGCAGGACAGGAGATGAGAATGCAGGCTGCTAAATGACTTTGAATACAAGGGCAAGACAGGATGCACAGGGACTTAAGCGGAGGCTTCTGGGGTCATCCAGGCAACAGGTGGTGGAACTGGCTTAAGATAAGCAGGGGGGCAGGTCTTGGAGAGGTCCAGGAATCTCATGGGGACCCAGGCTACCTGGGATCCTCATGGCAAAAAGCCTGAGTGTTCACCTTCATCTTTCCTGTCTTAGGTGCATTCTGATTGCAGGAAGCTACACCAGATTTCCCCACTTTTTCCTTGCACTCAAAACCCAGACAAGCCCAGTGGCCAGCAATGTCTGCTCCAGCTTGCACATGGAATCAGACAGTGTCCCCAGGTTCAGTATAGGGCCTCTTCCCACCTAAGGTGCAATGGCCGGTGGGGGTCCGTGGCATCGGCAGGGGTGCTGGCGCTCTGGTGGGGTAGAGGTAGGATGGGAGTCCTTGGAAAACCCAGAACCAGTGTGTGTGCTGAATGGACGTCTGTGGGGCTGGCAGATGATTTTACTCACAGGCATGGTGCCTCAAGATTGGTGGGCCAGTCCCTCTCCAGAGGGGATCTGCAGAGTCCCTGGGTGGGGTGCACAGGCTGGCTATCTGCTCTCTTGGCATGGGGCTGGCTTCCCTTGCCCTCTGTGAGCTGGCAAGAATGCTGCAGGAATCCAGCATCCCTGCGTTTGGAGGAGACGTGATAGAGGGAAGGGCTGGTACACCAAGAGTCTGTCCCAGGAGCCCAGCCATCACGCTGTGTGTCCTGCACTGGGTCGATTTGACATGTGCTCTCACACTGGCTGTTCTCCAGAAGGACAGCAGAAATCCTGTGGATCCTCTGCATGGCTCTGCTCCCTGCTTTGAGTGATTCACATGTTAGGTGTGATCTACAGGGATCGCCTTTTCTGATTTGTGATGTAAGAGTATCTGCAGCTCAGTGACTCTTCTCTGACCAGCTCTGATGTGACTCTTCTAGGCAGTTAGGTGGAATCTCCATTTTGGTTATTTTTATTCATGGCTTCACTAATCTTTTCTTCTGGCTTATTCTTTCTTTTCTGTTTGTTTTTTGAGACAGGGTTTTGCTCTGTAATTCAAACTGGCCTTGAACTCACTATGTACTGAAGGCTGGCCTTGAATTCACAGCAATCCTCCTGCCTGAACCTCCAGAGTGCTGGGATGACATGCATGTGCCACCACATACAGCTTTGGCCATATCCTTTCTCTAAAATGATACATATTTCTTAGGACATGATTCTCAGATCTAGGACTTCTGTTTGGTTCTTCTTTACACTTTGCCCTTTCTTCTTTGATTCTCAAGATCTTTCTTTTATTATTATATCTTTGAGCATATTTATAATAAATATTTTTCAATGGTCTAGATTGTTTCAGTATCTGAGAAATCTTTTCCTCTCTCTTTAATCTTGCTTCTTTGCTCTTTATTTTCTTTCCAATTACCCCCAAGGATTTCACAAGGGGCCACATCTGCAGCCCATTTTAAATTTTTGATTCTGAGAAAGGTCTCAGGAAGTCACTAAGTTGCAAGGCTAGGCATGAACTTCCAATCCTCTACCTCAGCTACTGTGACACTGAGGGTAGAATGGGAACTTGGTTGCTTTGGTGAACTCCTGGAAGGGGTTACCAGAAGGAGGAACACAGTTCTGGGTATATCTGGGTAGATCCTGGTGGGTTGGTCTAGGGGTCTGTGGCCCCGGCCCTGTCTTCTGTTGTGATTCTCCGCAGCTCTGCTTCCCAGTCACCTTGAAACGAGCACCTTTGCTCTGTTGCATCCCTTTGCCATGATGGTTTTGTTTGTGAGCCAGCCAGTCATGGACTGAGTCCTCAGAACCTGACTTCCCAATGAAATATTTCCTTCCTTAATCTGTGGGGGTCAGTACTGTGTGGGGGTCAGTACTGTGTCTCAGTGTCTTGGTTACTTTTTTCTTGTTGCTGGGACAAAACACCCAACACCCTGAAATGAAGGAAAGAAAGGTTTATTTATCTGTTTGTGGAGGTTTCAGTCCAGAATCAGCTAACTCCAGGGCAAGGAGGGGAGCAGGGCACCAGGGGTATGCTTCCAGGCAGCAGTCAGTTAAAGCAGCCAGAGTAAAAAGCCAGGAAACAAGACTCTTTTTCTCCCCTATACTGCACACAGATCACCCCCACTGTAGGTTGGGTGTAGGGCTCACACCCTCTCCATGCTCTGCTCTTATACAGGCTCAGAATATTTACAAATATGCTGGCTCCCTGCAGAGTCTTTTAGGTAACCTTCTTCGAAACTTCTTAAACTGACACAGTGTATCAACCGTAACACACAGATGTAAGGAAGCTAATTATTCAGCCTCCCTAAGTGCCACAGGTGTATGCCAACATGCCCTGTTGGTTTGGGGTTTTTTCCACTTGACTTTGTCAGGGCTGGGGATCAAATTTAGGGCCTTGAGCACTGTAGGCAAGTGCTCTACTCGTGAACTGCCTCTCCTCCCCTGCTTCAAAGTTTCTGTGTACTTCTCCATTAATGTCCATGGAGGACTGTTTCCAGTATACACACATCCATCCTGCCAAAACTATCTGACTGCAGATGCTCTCTTCCCTTATACAAAATGATGCACTGTGTGCTGCCCCCATACACTTTCAATCCTCACTAGATTATTATAATGCCTGAACCAATGCAAGTGCTAGGGAAGTAGTTGTTATTCCACATTTTAGGGGGATAAAAAGGAAAAGAAATGTGGTCATGGTCAGTTCAGGCACACTTTTTCCCCAAATATTTACAGTCTGGTTAGAGTTGCATCCACATGTTTTGAACCCCAGATATGAAGGGGCTACAATTTGTAGAAACACTGATGATTGAGGAGCACTGTTGTCTTGTTTTCCAAGACTTTGAAGGGGTTTAATAAAAACACAGAGCCTCAGGCAGCCCCCTCAGAGATGGGTGTGGAGGAGTGCAGGAGAGAGAATTACAAAGAACTCCTGCATCTGGGGACAGCTCCAGCCCATCTCACCAGACCAGTCAGGACAGCCATCCCCCTCCATCAAGCCTCACCTTGCCCCTTCGGCTCTGAATACCCTTGAACCTCTGAGGCTGTCTGTCCTGAGGGTTGGAGGAGCTTGCAGGTGAAGCAGAGAGGGTGGAGCACAGACCTCAGCTAACAGAGCCTGCGAGGTGAGAGGAAAATTAGATGGAGAGCTGCTCCCAAGCCCTGCAGAGCTTCAGATCCTGAAAGCACCCATCTGGGGCCTGGATTGTTCCCCCAAGGTCGCCCGACCTTTGTAATTTTTGGTGTCCTCTTATCCCTCTGAGTAGCACGGGTGTCCCCGGGCCCTTCTCGTCTGTCAGTGCAGTTTTGCCCCCACCATCACCTATCCCAGCCCTCACGCCCTGGCTGAGATGCTTTCTTCTGGCCCGTGAAACAAGCCCCCAGTGGTTGGCTGAACAGCACCATGCACAAACATACCACACTCAGCCCCAGCTGCCACTGGCCAGGCTACCCACCCCCAGTATGGTCAACGCCATTGTCATCTTCTGTCTTCTCAGACCCAACTCCTTAGGGCCACCTCTGAATCCTCTACCACTCTTCAACAAAGGAACCCCTCCCCAATATCCCCAGCTGAAACTCAGCCTTGGTCTCTGGGGTGACCTTCCTCCCCTGCTCCCCTGGCCCTCCCCACCTGCGGTCAGAGCATGTGTGAAGCCTGGGGCACAGCCGGTCCCTCCCATGCCTTGCACCACGGTGCCCCCATTCCTGATTGCCCTGCAAGCTCTCTTGGCATGCTACCTTTGGACCCCTCTCTCTCCTGGATTCTTCTACTGTCACCACACTCAGTCCCATGGCCCTGACCTTCTGGGCTACTCCTACCTGAGTTATACCACCTGGCACCTTGTCTCTGGTGACTGAACCTCTCCCACCCGGGTGTCTCCCAGTATCATCTTCCTGCCAGGGCCTCCATGGTCACTTTGTTTAAAATGTCCTCTTTCCCTCCCATGCACACTGCTGTTTGCTCCTTACCATCTGTCAGTGCCACGTGTCTGGAGCGCAGCTTGTCTGGGGGCCTTGGGGCTGACTGTTAGCACTGTGGGAACAACAGAAGCATGGGTGCTTGCACCGCTTCACACAGCGGGTGCTCCCTCCTGGCGTGCATGTGGAAAACCTGCAGATTGTGCGAGCCAGCAGCCCCTTCCTCTAGCCTGTACCTGTGTGTCCTGTAAGCCGCCCATCTGTTCCACCTGCGTTCTCTCATGCCTCCACACAGAAGGGGACATGCTGGGCGTGGTGGAGCCATGGAGCTGCCAGTCTTCCTTGATTCCTGGATTACTGCACTTAGTAGGGTGCAAGCATTGGACAGGGCTCATGAGGATGAAGAAAAAGAGGAGCTATATTGCAATCCAAATATTATACATTATAATCCAAATTCTGTATGCTGTAATCCAAATTTTATATATTAGAATCCAAATATTGTAATTCCTTTTGCAGTCCTCCTCACAATCCAGAAAGATATATTTTAGTTCCACTGAAACCTAATTAGAATCTCAGCAAGTTAACACCCATCTACCACCTCCAATGCAACTCTTGGTGAGAGTAAAGACACTAAGCCCTAGTCTAAGTTATGGGCAGCCAAGGAATCCCAAGTCTGATCCAAGTGAGGATACACAGACAAAGGCCTTGATGGAAGGTCTCTCCCACAGTGTATTATCTCATGAAGAAAGCAGTGGTCCAAGGATGACTGACAGTGAGGATGGCATGAACTACATGAGTAATTTTGTTTTACATGAGTACTTTGAGCTGGCTAGCCAGGTGGGGAGAAAAGCATCTTTGCAATATGCGAGGAGAATGATATGCAGAAGGACCAGTCTGCATAACCCAATCAGGGTAGCATTTGAACACTTTGAGGAGGCCGTTGCTTTGGTCTCTGCTATGTAAACTTTTTTACCCTGGGAGGTCATGGGACTTTTATTTAGAGGCTCATACCCAGTGGACATTGCTGGAGCTGACTGGTTCTGCCACCCCACTGTGTTCAACTGTTTAACAGGGAACACAGTGTGAGGAAAATGTCACTGGGCCTTAAAGATTACCTATCAGTATCTTGGCTGCCCTTATTTGCTCGCTTAGAGCCAGTTGAAGGGTGATGGACATACCATAGCCAACTCTGTACATATCAGGGCATGGCAACAAGACTCGGTTGAACTAATGCTGAAGCAATTGTTCTGCATTCAAACGGAGCTGCTCAAATTGGCTCCTACAGGGATGTCTAGATAGAGCCCCAGATCTGCCTTACCAACTGAGAGGCACCAAGGGAACAACCTCCCTCCTCAACCACAAGCAGTTATCAGGATTGGCAAAGACTTGTCAGGAGCATGGAGACTGTCCCAGGGACCATGTCATCCTGCCATACCTGTACCAGCCAGCACCATGAACTAGAATCAGTAGAACCAAGGCTGGATACAAGGCCAGGAGAAAACACTGCAGACACTCAGGTGGCTGAGCCATGGGAAGTGCGGATAGGAGGGCGCGTTCTTTCATAATTCACACTCTACTCAGTTTCAGAGTGCATCCCATGAAAGTATATTCCTCTTATGATGGAAACAATAACTTCCTTCTGTGCGCTCTAGAGGCACTAACCTCTGTTTGTTCAGTACTTGCAGTGGATGTGGGAGATGGCAGGGGCCTGGCACACCACAGTGGAGCAGTTTTCTGCCTCTTTTCTGCAGAGACTAAGGGAGCAGAGCCCCTGGCAGCCTCCGAAGCCAGGCATCCCAGACCCTGCTCCCCAGAAGCCAGCCCCTCCCCATCTGGATCCATGTGCTTACCTGTGTCCACATCTGCTATGCTCTGCCACTTGGATGGTGGGTCCAGGGCTTTGCCTGGGGATGTGACCTGAGAGAGAGGGCCTGACTGTTGCAGTCCCCTCCCTGCCACCCCAGCTGACCACAGGCCTGGGTCGGGTGGGCTCAGCTCTGTCACCACAATGTATTTCTTCTGGTCTAACCTGTTCCAGCCTCAGAGGTTTGAGATCACTGAGAACTGCAGCTCTGACCAAGACGAGATCTCTTATGGCCTGTGTGGCCATCGGATGCTGATGCACATGAATGATTTCCTTTGTGGGCATGGGGGTTACTGTCACTGGCATCAGGCATGGGAGGATCATGTCGGGTAGTGTGGGGCGTGTGTGTGTCACGGTACCTCCACACAGTCTGAAGAAAATCTTGCGTAGGCTTCCCAAAACCATCAGAATGAGCTTGTCAGGGACATCCTTCAGGCTGCACGTGGACAATGAGCTTCTGGCGGGTCAGAGCATCTCCTACCCCAGTCCTCTTGTCTGGTCCTTCTTCCTAGAATTTGGTCTGTGTCGCCTCTGATTCGACCCTGTCGTGCCCAGAATCAGCCCTGTCCTAGGCACAGTGTAGAACCTTGCTCCTGATGTCCCTGAGCTCCAGACCACATCCTTGTTGGGGCTATGCCTCTCCAACCAGGGGCAGGCCGGTCTAGCTCTCTTTTGGTTAGTAAACAATTTCTCACATCCTACCCTTCTATCAAATGCAACAGGAATGAATTAGTAGAAAACAATCTGAACTTGGCCATCCCAGCTGTGTACAGTTGTCATGGTAATGACCAGGAAACCCCATCTATGCCTCCTGTGACTCTTGGGGAGCAGCTGACCTGGAGGGTGAACAGCTGATCCAGAGGGTGAGCCATCCTCCAAAGCACAAACAAGGATGTCACCTCGCCCACACTGTGCCCTCCTCCTGTCCTCCCTTACTGCCCTCTGGGATGGCTTCCTGTCCTCTGCCCTTTTATGATCCAGAATCTGGCGTTTTTGCTTCCCCCGGCAACCTATCTGGTCTCTTACTTGCTTTCACGTTGCCCTCACCACTTACACTTGGAACAAGCAGCTCCCTCACTGTCACTCTGCTCCTACCTACATCAGCTGTCCCCTGTGACTGACACGAATGCTTTCTGATACCTGTGACTCTGCTGGAATAGATGGTCACCTTGGGGGAGGCCTTGTTGCGCCATGCCCCTCTTCCTGCACCAGACCTGAGCCCAGCTCACTGTGCATGATCCTTCCAGGACCCCTAGTGCTGGCTCCTGCAGCCACTCCCCTGTAGACCCTTGTGCCTTGCTCCAGCCACTTGAGATACTGCTCCTCTTCAGGGCCATCTCCTGCCAAATCAATCAACATCTGGGGTCCCTCCTTCATGGAGCACCCCACTAGAACTAGATCCTTCCTTTGTGGGTTTTTGGTAGATTTTTATTCTACAGACTTCTCTGTGACTCCCCCGGCAGGGTGATCCTGATCTCCCCTTCCCATTTTGGATTATAAACTCCCTGCAGACAGTTGAAGTTCCTCCCCACCATCCCTCACATCACCTTGCCCACAAGATAGCTTAGCAGGAACTAGGTGCTTCAGAAACAAGCAATTCTCCCTAACTCATTCCTGGAAGCAAGTATTACTCTAGTACCAAAACCAGACAGAGACCCATCCACGAAAGAGAACTTCACACCAATCTCCTTCATGAACACAGATGCAAAAATTCTCAATAAAATACTGGCAAACAAAAGGCAACAAATCATCAAGAAGATTATATACCACAACCAAGTGGGGCTCATCCAGGGAACACAGGGGTGGTTCAACATATGCAAATCAATAAATGTAACCCACTGTAGTAATAGACCCAAAACTAAGAATCACTTGATCATTTCTATAGATGCAGAAAACGCTTTGATAAGGTCCAACACTCATTCCTGATAAGAACCACACAAAAATCAAAATGGATGGTCTTTACCTCCAGATGATAAAAGCCATCTATGACAAAACAACAACCACCATCATATTAAATGGCCAAAACCTGAAAGCTTTTACTCTAAAATCAGGAACAAGACAACGATGTCCACTATCACTCCTCCTATTCAATAGAGTGCTGAAAATACTACCCAGAGCAATTAGACAAGAGAGAGAAACAAAAAGAGGAAGGATAGGAAAAGAAGGAGTTAAATCATCATTCCTTTCAGACGACATGATACTCTCCATAAAGATCCCCAAAATTCCATTGCAAGAGTCCTCGCTATAATAACTAAATACGGTCATGTAGCTAGATGCAAAATCAATAGCATTCCTATACACAAACAATAAACTCACTGAGAGAGAAATAAAAGAAGCCACACCTTCACAGTAACATCCAAACAAATGAAATACTTAGCAATCAACCTAAGAAAAGAAGAAAAGTACTTATTCAGGGAAAAGTATAATACCCTGATAAAAGAAATTGAAAAGGATCTGAGAAACTGGAAAGACATTCCTTGTTCATGGGTACCTAGAACAAACACGGTAAAAATGGCCGTTCTCCCAAAATTGTTATACAGATTTAATGCAATCCCATTCAAAATGCTACTAGCACATCTCACAGGTCTACAGAAATCATTCTTAAAATTCATGTAGAACCAGAAAAGACCTAGAATAGCAAAGGTAATTATGGGTAACAAAGGCAAGGCAGAAGGGGTCACAGTCCCTGACTTGAAGTTACATTACAAAGCTGCTATCATAAAGTCAGCATGGTACTTCAATAAAAATAGACCTGAAGATCAACGGAATAGATTAGAAGATACATCTACAACTACAAACACAATCAGCCACCTTACCTTTGACAAGGGGACCAAACACGTTCAGTGGAACAAAGACAGCCTCATTAATAACTGATGCTAGAAAAACTGGCTCTCCGTATGCTGTAAACTAAAACTAGACCCTTACCTATCACCATGTACTAAACTACAGTCAAAATGGATCAAAGATCTAAATATTAAAACAAGCACTAAATCTGCTAAAAGACAGACTAGGTAGAAATCTTGAAGGTAGTGAAGAGAATTCATGAACAAAAATCAAACAGCATGGGAAGTACTTCCCAGAATCAATAACTGAGATCTCGTCTTATTAAAAGGTTTTTGCATGTCAAAAGAAATCTCAAAGTATAAAAGAACTCATGAATGTTAAAAAAAAATCTTAGTCAACTGTCCCTCAGACAAAGGATTTCTGTCTAGAGCATAAGAGACCCCCAAAATACAAAGGCCCAATCCAAAAATGGGCATCTGAGATGAATACACACTTCTCAGATGAAGAAATACACATGGCAAATACAGACATGAAGAAATGCTCAGCATCATTGGTCATTAGAGAAATGCAAATTAAAACCACACTGAGAGTCCATCTCGCTCCAGAAAAAATGGCAAGGATGAAGAAAACTACCAACAACAAATCCTGGAGAGGCTGTGCGGAAAAGGAACTCTCCTGCACTGTTGGTGGGAGTGTAGATTGGTGCACCTCTGTGGAGGCCAGATTGGAAGTTTCTCCAAAAGCTGGGATTGGAAGTCCCATTTGAAC